CCCCACAAGAGTTGGTAGATATAGTTTAATTAATTTGGTATCTCACATAATGATGTTTCTACGTAATTTTAAAAACTGATATATGTAAGTTTTCTCCTCGAAATAGTTTGTGTTGATATTCTTCTGTTTTAAGCAATGTTTTCAGAACCGGACCGGACCGGCCGGTTCGACCGGTTGGACCGCGAACCGGCCATGTCACCGGTCCGGTCTAATGCTAAAGCCGGAAGTTCATGGAGAACCGTTGAAACCCGGACGAACCGGACGAACCGTTAAGAACCGTGAACCGGCGGTTTTTTAAATTCTTCAACAAAATATCAAGAATGGTGTAGCTAAGATTCGAACCTGGGTCTCCAAGTTTAAATATGACAATCTTACCGCTAGACTGTACTTAAGTTTGTTGAGAATTCTACTTGACTAAAAAATATATTAAAACATCAAGTTCTTCTCTTATTTTTTTTTTCAATTTTTTCTTCTTAACCATTTTTAACCCAAATATCCACAACAAGATTTTCTCAAGTCTTCACCATTATTATCAGGTTATTATCTTTAGCAGATTGTAAACAAGTTGAAAATTTCAACTTTTCTTGTTTTCCAACATTTTAGTAAGTTTAATTTTTTTCTTTTCAAGGTTTTTTTCTATATTATTATCTTTAGTTGATTTTTTGCATTTTCTTCTTTTTCCCCTCAATTTTCATATGTTTCCCTCATTTTTGTTTTATTTTTATTCGATTAATTAAGGATGAAATTTTTGCAAAAGTAGTGCACATCCGTGTAGGAATTGGGTAGGAATTACAAATAATAACATTGGGTTGGTCAAAAATATGGTAGTTGGCACATAATCGAAGCTATTGATAATTGAATTTAAAATAATTAATGGTATAGGATCATTGAATTTAATATAACATGTTAATTAGTAATGTTTAGTAGCAATTAATTTTTTATGTGTTTAACTGTATATTTGTTTTTCAAAAATTTTTAGTTTTTTTTAGTTTGAGCAATTAGATTTATATTTTTATAATAAAATTTTAACTTTTTCAGCTTAAGTTGATGAAATTGTGAAGGTGGTGTGGTTGCTTATCATGCCACTGATAAAAGTTTGCTATTCAAATAGTTTGTCTTAACTTGAACTCTTTTATGGATTTTTTTAAGGGTTGTAAAAGAATTTCAATATTTAATTAATTTATTTTTTGTGTTTTTATTTGTGATAATTGGTGCACATTTGGGATTGTATCTATTTATGTTTATAATGAATTTATGAAAACTTGTGGTGAATTATGATATTTTAATTATATTTATCATTCCATGTTTTGTGTATAACTTTTAGAAAATTTATTATTATCATAACTTAAATTAAGTTATGTTGGTAAAGTTCAAGTGTAGAATGAAACCTGCTTAGTACTTAACACTAAAAAAAAAAAAAAAAAAAAAAAAAAAAAAAAAACAGTGAACCTTTGAACCGGCCGGTCGGACCGGTCGAACCGCGAACCGGCCACCTCTCCGGTTCACTGACCGGTCCGAGTTTAAAAACATTGGTTTTAAGCACAGAACTCATTTTGAAAAACCCTCTATAATTAGCAATTGAGCATATTAAAAAGGTTAAAGCTCATTTGTGTTTTTTTTTTTTTGTAGCCTTTACTTTTTGGGAAGGGAATGGGAATATATTCACTAATTGGTGAAGTATAGATGCCTAAAGTAATAATAAGACACTAAATCATTTTAGGTGATTGGAAATTATTCAAGCCAACTTATTCGGGAATTTTTTAAGGCTTGTCAATGCATCATTTAAGTCCTTAAACTTGGATTAAAAAAATCAATAAAGATTTTATTGATTTTTAAGGTTAGGTCCTCAATTATATGTTAAGGTCATGCTGTGGATTAAAATTGCAAACGACCTAAAAATGCTATTGAAGAATTTAAAGGATAGGCTTGTGCCAAACTTGGTTAGACCAACAGTGAGAGAAGTGATAAGATAGTGTAGAAGAGGTTTGAACTTTGAAGTGGAAAAACAACATGCACAAAGGAAAAAAAAAAAGGAATATTCGATTGTACGGCCATCTTCAACGTAGACCAGAGCGGTAGCAGAGTCAAGATAAATTTTCAGTGTACGTGTATCCACAAATTGGGTTTCTTGTCACCAATTGGTTGGATAGGTATTTCTTATGGGTCCTCCTTAGATCATCTTCGGATCGCTCTTTCGGGTTACTCCCGTGTTTGTTCTAAACTGGGTGTGTGTATGTGTTATTACCCTTCTTGGTAAAAAAAGTGTATCCACAAATTGTTAGTCTTGGGTTTTTCTCATAATTATTATTGGGACTAACAATTTGTCCACTTTGATAGTCTTGGTTTTTTCTCATACAGTTCAAAAAAAATTAGTTAACTTTGTTGAAAAATAAATCTAGTCTATTATTTTCCTAAATTGTCCTTACATTAATATTGCGAGTATCACTAATAATTATACCTTTATATTAATTATAACAACAATAATGATAGTATATTACACCATTCAGTACATATATCTAAGCAATTACTGGTAGAAAAGTGGATTGTATAAAATTAGATAGGTATATTTACTAATAACGAAGTATATTAAATAATGATATTTTAGACAAGTTAAAAGTTAACTATATTTCTCAATTATAAGGTGGACTATAATTTGAGACGAATAAAAAATGAAAACAAAATTATCAAAATGGGACGGAGAGAGTATTTCAATGGTACTTTTTTTTTTTTTTCAAGCAAAAGCACCACAATCTCAAATCAGCCTTTCACCTATCAAATCAGTATTTCAAGAAAATCCGTTCAGGGCACAAATCAATGGAAGACAGATATAATTTGTATTCTTCAATCCACCTTTCACCTAAGCTTTGAATTTTTCCTTCTCCTATAATAGATAGCAAGAAAATCCGTTCAGGGCACAAATCAATGGAAGACAGATATAACTTGTATTCTTCAATCCACCTTTCACCTAAGCTTTGAATTTTTCCTTCTCCTATAATAGATAGCAAGAAAATCCGTTCAGGGCACAAATCAATGGAAGACAGATATAACTTGTATTCTTCAATCCACCTTTCACCTAACCTCTTATAGCCTTAATAAATTAGACATTTAGAAAACCGAACCAGCATTCATTACTTGATTAGACACACTCCTAGAATAAGTTATTCATTTTAGTTGACTTCGTCATAAAATGCAAATTCGATTATTTTAACGTTTTAATTCGAATCATGAAAGAATTATATATAACTTTTAAAATTATAGAGAATGACGTGAAAAAAAGCACCAAATGACAGGATGATCAAACATTTATCTTATAAGTTATCTTATATGGAAAGACCCCGTCTATATTTGCGAGTTTTTTTTTAGTGTGTGCTCCAAAGACACCGGAAAAGTGCACCCAATTAGAAATGGGCCAACAGAAGGAAAAAAAGAAAAAGAAAAAGACACTTTGGTGGACCGGAATCAATTCTTATCTGGGCAAAAAAATAGAATCTCTTTTGTACAAATCTGAAGAATCCATCTTGCAAACCAAATTGCAAAAGTATATAAAGTGTTAGCATGCAGTCATTTCAATCTATCTACAACCTAGATTGATATGAAAGTATTCATATGAAATTTTGCAGATCAACCTGGTGAAACAGATGTCACACAGGTTGAGTTGAGGATTCCAAACGGAGTTTCTTGATAGATATGAGGGATGCATTAAATGATCTCTGATGTTACTCAGTTGAAATAAACGGTTTCTTGGATTACAATTATAATGCGAACTTCTTCCTTTCTTTGGTTTTCTTAGAGTGCTATTAGTTTTCCATCTTTTTTTATATATCTGAAACAAGGAAATGAAAGCTTATCGTCTTTGAAAAGTCTAATGCAAACATGGAGTATGATCAACAGTGTTAATGAATTTTTTTTTATGTAAACTGAAACAAGAAATACTATAATATCTATTTGTTTCCGCAGACGACAACTATTATATAATTTATTTATCCTAAACTAGAGGGGAGGGGGAGCCTGAAGAGGCTGTGTTTGGAGCTAACAAGTACACAAATTTTACTAGATCAAGAGAGTGCTTTGACGCAATCCTTAAATTTTTTTGGCTACAAGTAGGATTTGAATCCTCACTTATAGACCAAGAAGGAACTTAAGAGCTCCCCTTGTGACTAATATCTATTTGTTGTCTTCGGCTCAGTGGTTTAATATCTATTTGTTCTGTTCCCCATTTTTTCCCTAATCATTCCCATCTGCAGTGTAATGACTCGTGACAAGGCTGAATTGTACCAAAACCACCATGTCTACCTCTAGCTTCTCCAGCAATAGCTACACAGTCTTTCCTTGGCCAAGTTGCTTTTGCATTGTTGTATCACTTCTTTCTACCTAAAATCTGCGACCAGATTTGTTGCTTAATTAAAGACCATCAAAATCAATGGTCCATCCCTCATTGATGAAATAGCCAGAAAATGTTGTCCTTCCTCTTAGCATGGATGCAACCACAGCTAGATTACTTTTGTAGCACATGGGAAACATCACTCCATTGATTACTACGGGTTCCAACCTAAATTGAATGCTTTGAATCTGATACAGTAATACTGACCCTTGGGTGCGATTTTTTTTTCCTTTTTTTTTTTTTTTTTGGAATTAAAGACGATTGAAATCGCCCTATTGAGTTAATAATTATTAAGCATATACACATATTTCTTTGAGTAAATTAATAAGTATTTGCTTAAGGCTGAAAAAGTCAGGTAACTTGGTTGACAATTTTGTAGCCTGTGGTCAAACAATTTCATCACCCTTTTCCTTTGTAACATGTATTGCGTATATTTGAAGTAAGCATTTGATGGCCACATTAGTTAACTGGTGAGAATTTCCTTTTAGGTTCTTAAAATGAACGAAATATTTGCTCCAAAAACTAATTTATCTTGACAACAATAAGGATATTATGGATGGAGTAGCTCCATTTTAGAGGAAAAAGGAACAAAAAATCTCCTAAGAACTACCCTTCAATCCAGAGCTCCAATTCTATTACCCCTTTTACATCTGTGAAAAGTACTTAAACATAGGACTATTTAAGCTTCTTCTCATGAGTCCAACAAACCTAAAGACAAAGATGTTCCTCAAGGTTTGACTCAGCTGCATGCTGAAATATATCATGCCCCTTTCTTGTTAGCATTCCATCAATAAAATCAGAGGAAGCTGAATTAATTGTAGGCTTATAGTACTTTACCATTTGCCTATGTGTGTCGTCTGAAAATCCTGTTTGAGGTTTATTCCTAAGATGGATAAATTTTGTTTCTTCGTTACTGCTGCTATACTGACGGCAAACTGTGCTACAATCTGCCAAGCAGTTCTTCATGTTGATCAAAACCTCAGCACTGATGCATCTTCTCTTCTTGAGTTCAAAAGCCAAGTAACTTCTGACCCTTTCAGGATCTTGGCCAATTGGTCTTCCACAACTCATGTTTGTAACTGGATAGGTGTCTCTTGCAACCTCCATCAGAGAATCACAGCCTTAAAGCTGTCAAACTGGAGCCTTTCAGGAACCGTTTCACCTCATCTAGGCAATCTCACATTCCTCACATTATTGGATATTAGTTTTAACAGCTTCAGTGGCTTCATCCCAAATGAGTTGTCTAATTTGCATGGTTTGAAACTGATGGATTTTGGGTACAACAACTTCTCTGGAGAGATCCCATCTTGGTTTGGAACCTTCATAGAGCTTGAGCTCCTTCTCCTTGACAGCAACAGGTTCTCAGGTGTCATTCCTGTTCCGCTATGCAATGTGTCGAAGCTGAAGAGATTGAATTTGAACGACAATCTTCTTCAAGGAAGTATTCCACAAGGGATTGCTAATATTTCTTACCTGAGGATATTAAATCTGCGATATAATCAGCTTGAAGGTTCTATACCGTCTGGAATATTCAACCTGACTCTCTTGCAACGTATTGACCTCACAAGGAACAGCCTATCAGGAAATCTGCCAATGGACATCTGCAATCATCCCTCCAAGCTACAAGGTCTTTATCTGTCTTACAATCATTTTGAAGGTGAAATTCCCACACAATTGTACAAATGTAGATACCTTGAATATTTGTCACTTTCATACAATCAATTCTATGGCAAAATTCCGAGGACACTTGGGTACTTGAGCCAGCTCAAGGAATTATATATTGGGGGAAACATTTTCACTGGTACTTACTGAAATCCATCATCTTTATTACAACATTGCATTAAATGATCATTTGAAGTTCATTTTGCAAATTGAACCTCTTTTCTTTATTACTTCTACAGGAGAGATTCCTTCAGGGATTGGTAATCTTACACATTTGGAGGAATTGAGCATAAGGGATAGCTTGCTAACAGGGAAAGTTCCGTTTTCTATCTTCAACATATCAACTCTGGAAATAATTGATTTTTCTAACAACAGTCTATCAGGAAGCTTCCCAGTAGACATGTTATACAATCTCCCAGCACTAAAACAGATGGATCTTTCTAGCAATCAGCTCAATGGCTCAATTCCCTTTTTCATATGGGGTTGCAAGGCTCTTGTAGACCTAGGACTGAAACACAATAACTTCACAGGTGGCATATCTGATAGGATTGGGAACCTCACTTCGCTCAGAAAGATAATTCTAGACGATAACAAGTTGAAAGGTTTGAATATCCATTATTTCAAGTAGACATGGTCCTTTTGCATTACTACTTTGGCATAACATGTAACTGCATGCAAGACATCACTATTTTGTTAGCGAAACTCCCCATCTTGGCTTTGTTGGAATTTGGACAGAGAAGATTTTAACGAGACAAAACCATGCATCTATTCAGTTAGTTGACAATTTTTGCAGCCAGAAAAAGAAAGCCACAGGAATCAACAGTAAAATACGATTTGAACTTATGTCAGGTTAGAAATACATCTCCATCAAGATTCCAAATATCAGGACATGCCAGTTAAAGTGAACGATCTGTATTTGATTACTTGTCGTTTTCTCATAGAAATCAAATATGCACTATATGAATCGCCCTCGTTCATTTTTCTTTTTTCCATTTTCACCCTGTTTCTTTCGCCCTCATGCGTTGTACTTGTGTTTTAGTTTGGACTTTGGTTTAGCTGGCAGTTGCTAAGTGTATTCTAGTTTTATTGCCTTGTAGAACACTGTTTTTTCCATGCCCCAAGCAATGTTGTAATCTTGTCAATTTCAACTATTGGATATGTGAAACAAAGAGAAATATTTCTTAAATTTTGAACTAATGGAGCTTCCTTAGTAGTATTTCAAGTATATTTGATGGAAAAAAGCATTGAAGCTTCATAGATAAAGGAGTGAGCATACTTGTGAATAATATCACGTGAGTCCTTAAGAAACAATCTAGACTTCAGTGGCAAAGGTGCCATTTTTGCAGACTTTCTGAAGCACATTAGTGATCCTCCGAAAGAGCTCCTTTAACTTCCATAATGTAGTGGATTAAGGGAAAAAGTGATGTAAGCTTTTTACCTCAGAACGCATCATAAGTATCGTACTTATAGTACCACAAGTTTGGCTATCCAAAGATGTGTGACCAGATATCTTGCATAGAATATGCCAGAAAGTGGAATGTTTGGAACCAATCCTAACAAGAACGTCACACTCACATATTTTTGACAGCATGCTGTATCTGAGTAGAAATCTTTGTTTATATCTGATCTTCCATCCTCTGAAATCCGCTGCTTTAACCTATTTGGGTGGGAATCTCCTTGGCCGATTCACTTTCTAGTTGGAAGAGCTTTGGAAGATTTTTCAAAAGTATGCATCTGACTTGCATTCTTTTTTGCATTATAATTAGTTACAAATAGGAAAGAAGACGCCATAAGCATCCTAAAAGGCTGAGAACTGAGAACTGATGAAAGTGCGTATTTTTGGCAGGTGAATTACCAAGTGAGATTGGTAAAAACATCAATCTTGAAGTCATCTCTCTTAGAAACAACCACCTCTTGGGCCTCCTCCAACCTGGTATCTTCAACATGTCATCGCTAGTGTATATAGATTTGGCTGGTAATCAATTCTCAGGCTCTCTTCCTTCAAGTATTTGGAGTACACTTCCAAAGCTGCAAGAAGTTTATCTGGACGACAATAAATTCAGCGGAATATTGCCGGCTGCCATATCAAATGCTTCTAAGATTACCAAGCTAAGCATTATTGGAAATTCTTTTAGTGGTCCTATACCTACTACGCTAGGTGACTTGCAACTCTTGAAGTATCTTTTACTCGGAGGAAACAACTTCACAAGAGAATCTTCAACCCCAGAGTTGAGATTTATCTTTTCTTTAACAAAATGCAGACAGTTGGAGGTTGTGGAATTATCACAGAATCAATTCAATGGTTTCCTTCCAACTTCATTAGGGAATTTTTCTACTTCTCTTCGATCGTTTAGGGCCTTTGGAAGCAAGATCAAGGGTGCAATTCCAACTGAAATTGGAAATTTGAGCAGTCTACAAGCCATATATCTTGATAGCAATGATTTGACGGGATTTATTCCACCCTCAGTCGGGAAATTAAGCCGTGTTGAGCGTATATATCTTGAACACAATAGATTGCAAGGGCAAATGCCTGCTGAGCTTTGTCAACTGAAAAATCTTGGTGACTTGTATCTGAATGAAAATATGCTTTCTGGTCCAATACCTGATTGTTTGGGTGAAATCAAGGCCTTGAGAGCCGTCTTTTTGCAATCCAACAATTTAAATTCCACAATTCCATCTAGTCTTTGGAACCTTGAAGATCTCCTCGGCCTAAACCTGTCTTCAAACTCTTTAAGCGGGAGTCTTCCATCTGAGGTAAAAAATCTGAAGGTTATAACGCAACTAGACTTGTCATGGAATCAATTTTCAGGAAATATTCCAAGTCCTCTGGGAAGTGCAGAATCACTAGCTTATCTGTCCATGGCACACAACAAATTTCAAGGAAACATTCCTGAATCTTTTGGAAACCTAGTGAGTTTGGAATATTTAGATCTATCTCAAAATGATTTTACTGGAGTGATACCAAAGTCATTAGAGAAGCTTGGTTACATGAAATACTTCAATGTGTCTTTCAATAGATTAGAAGGGGAAATTCCAACAGGTGGACCTTTTGCCAACTTAACAGTCCAATCATTCATGCATAACTATGCATTGTGTGGTTCAGGCAGGTTACATTTTCCACCCTGCAAAAAAACTGCCTCCAAATCAAGATCAAAGAAAGCTATTTCAATGATCAAGTATTTTTTACCTCTAATTATATTGGGTATCATAGTTTTGGCAGCCATTTCATTTGCGTGCAGAAAGAGAAAAATTCCAAGAAGGGAATTACCACAGAGTGATAACCTGTTGCCTCCTAAATGGAGAAAAGTTTCTTATCAAGAGATTTTGGGAGCGACAGATTCCTTTAACGAAAGAAACTTACTTGGGACTGGAAGTTTTGGTTCTGTCTACAGAGGGATATTTTCTGATGGCTCCATTTTTGCAGTAAAAGTTTTTCACGCAGAAAGATCAAGCAAGAGCTTTGATGCTGAATGTCAAGTACTTGCAAGTACCCGCCATCGAAACTTAGTTAAAATCATCAGCTGTTACAACAATCAGGACTTCAAGGCTCTGGTACTAGAGTATATGCATAATGGGAGCCTGGAAATCTGGTTGCATTCAGAGAATTCCTTTTTGGACATGCTACAAAGACTAAACATAATGATCGATGTTGCATCAGCTTTAGAATATCTTCACCATGATCATACGCCTCCCATAGTTCATTGCGATTTAAAGCCTAGTAACATCCTGCTAGATGAAGATATGACAGCACATATATGTGATTTTGGTATTGCTAAACTCTTTGATGATGGGGAAGCTATGGTTCAAACAAAGACTTTAGCAACTATTGGATACATGTCACCAGGTAATATTTCTTTCTTAACCTTTTTTTGTTTATTTTCTAAAACCTAGAAATTCTTCTGATCTACAAAAGTCGTAATGTAACAATTGCTAGCATAATGGACGTTTATTCAATGCTTTCACAGAGTATGGAATGCAAGGGACAGTATCGACGAGTGGCGATGTCTATAGTTATGGGGTAATCTTACTAGAAACATTCACAAGGAAAAGGCCAACTGATGACTGTTTTGGACAAGGATTAGATTTGAAGCATTGGGTTAGCAAATCAATACAAGCAAACTCAATGAAGGAAGTTGTTGACAGCAATTTAATTCAACAAGAAAAGCAGAAGTTGTATGCAAAGGAAGAATGTGTGCTGTCTATCCTTGGTCTAGGCCTGGATTGTTTAGTTGATGCACCCCAGGAGAGGATTAACATGAGGGACATTGTGAGTAAACTGAAAATGATCAAAGAAACACTTCAGAAAAATGTACAGAAGTAGCAATCTAATTTTTACGAATTGCACTAGCTAGAATATCATCATTTCTTTTCGCTATAAGATCGTTTTTCTCCTACTATTGTGTAACGTATTAAAATACAATGCCACTTGACTGAACACATGGTCAATTGTTTGCAATTCATGGACACTGCATACTTGAAAAAGAGGAAGAGATCAAGGTACTAACAAATGCCAATAGTTAGAGTAAGATTAGTAAATAGAAACTTGCATGCAGCATATGCAGATTACCCCATGATTAAAGTGATGCTACTAGACAAGAGAGGACATGAATTTCTTGGGATAAGTGGGATGCGCAGACTGGTGCATACTAGAGCAGAACATCAATACCTCAAGCTTTAGAAGTGGTTCACGTTATCTGTTTTGTTTTGTCCCTCAATCAAACGGTATCCATTTTGATTAAGCTTGAAAAGTAATGCATTCCAATAACTTGATTATGATTTTGTAAATGCTAATTTTATAACTTGATTTTCAAAAATTAGACTTTTCAGAATGTTATACTCCATTCATCCCATCAATTTGGTCACTTTTCGAGTAACCAACTTAATAAGAATAAAGTTTAACATTGATGTTTTCTAATTTGAATCAACTTTGAGTATTGCCACCTTATAATGCTTGTGGGAACCCCCACTAAAAAATAATACAAAATTTTATTGTCGTTTGAGCATCACGCTGCTACTCCACTCCAGCATACATCTTAACTCAGTTAAGGTGGTTTGTGAGGCCTTTATAGGAAATTGTGATTGACAAGGTATTCAATGGAAATATATGAAAATTTTGTTTACCATTTTAGGTAAGTGATAGTAGCTTCGGAACAGATTAAAAGGAAAAGTACGACACTTTTAACGTAACAGAGGAAGTATATGTTCTAGTTGGCCAATTATATAGGTTCGACCATACTCTTAAAAGATGCTGCAAAAGCTAATTTTGACCAACTAATGACTAGGTAGCCCCTTATATGCTGCATAAATGAATTTCTATGCTAATTCTTTGAAGTAATTAATTACTCTACCTATAGAGATTTGATGTAATATTAATTAAAGTTCATGCAAATTGAACTAAATAAGTGATTTAATATGTCTAAAAGTGGGATGAGAACAAAGAGGAATGGGGAGAGCGCCCTTAGGTTTTGTTTGCATGAAAAAAGTAGCCCACAATCAAAATTCAAAAGCAACAAAAGACCTACTTCTGATTTCAATTTTTCTTGGGTCCAGAAAATCTAAAATCAGCATATGAATTATGAAAAGCTATTGTGAATCCCATTAAATAACTTTTTAAGAATCAAAAGTTAAAAATCAAATCTTTAAATTCAGTGAAACAAAAGACCACAGTAACTATATATGATGCTACCTCCTCTAAGAAAAGTTAATATTACTTCATAGAGGATCGGTCTTGTAGCACCACTCATGCAAAAAACTGGCTTCATCTATGAATTCAGACAAGATGACTTCCATAAATAATCAAGCAAGGTTCTGATTTATAGAGATTTGCTGTTTTTTTTTTTTTCGAAAAGAAACTCGCATGTAGAGCCAGGCATTATTAGCATTCAAATAACTAAAGTGTACAATATTACATAGACACACTTTTTGTGAATCATGAATATCTCCAAACTCACTAGGCAACTCTTCACCTAGTCAATTAAATAAAATTATTCATCAATCCTACATTTTCCAAAATCATTAATGAAAAAATGTTACTTAATAGTCCTACTGCATCTTCCCACCAGCAGTATCAATCTATGTCAGCCCTTTAATTTTGTCCCCAATCCTTCGTATTTTGCTTCCAAAAACAAAAAAGAAAAATCAGGACCGGTTTGGTTTACTCAATTATATATGTGAATCTTTTAGATGGTTAATATGGAGCCAGCTAGCATTTCTTTGTACTGGAATTGGGCTTCCTTCTTGCTTTTGTCCCCGAACAATAACTGAATCTTTTATAACATGCGGATGCAAATAAGTAAAAATAAGAACTAAGCCCCCATATGGGTGGTCCAGTATTAAGCGAACTCTTAAAAACTCCTTTGGTTTTGGGTTTGAATTTTACCGTGAATTTGAATCCTCATAACTCGTCCGGGGTACGTTGCATGGAACTGTGGCGTATTCCTCTGGTTTGGTGTGTCAGCTCGGGTCTTAAGTGGTTCGAGTCGGGGCATGTTTTGTTTTACCAAAAAAAAAAAACATGAACTAAATATTGGCCACATAAATCAAGCAAAACAAAACTACATGATTTTGGGTTGCTGTTTTTTGGAATATGTAAATATTGGACGATGGACAATGAGTTGGTGTTCTGATGGACGATGCACGATGCATTATACTGATGGATGCATTATGATATTTTTTAAAATATATATTTAAGTTATGTAATAGTTGTGGTTGATGAGGGAATTATTTTGTGAAACAAACTGTAGAAGATCTGAATTTATTTCCTTAGCCGGTGTGTTGGCCATTGACAGAAAGAATTGCTAGTGCCACTGGAATATAAAAGATGTTATACAAAAAAGGTGAAATGAGAACTACAAAAGCATTAAGCAGAACTTGTTTATCTTTTTTTTTTTAATGAAACATCAATCTATTCGCCATTTGTTTATCTTTGTTCTTTTCTTAGGAGAATTTGTTCTTCAATCCTGCAAGATGCGCCATTTCCTTCGGTTGGACTTGGGGTGGCCGGGGGATATCCCTCCAAACGGACCTGAATTATTGTCTCCACAATAAGTCACCTTCCTGATTTAGAGAAATTCTTTAAGGTTGTACTTGGATTGAGAGATTTGATAAAAGATTTGAAATTTTCTCAAATTCCTCTAGTTGTTTATATTATTTAGAGGGTATTTGGATTTGCAAATTACTAATTATTCTAGTATTTAAAATATATTTTAATAGTTGATATATTACAAATCCAAATTCTTATTAAGTAATCTAAACAATGAGAGCGATTTAGATGAATTTCAAATCCTTCATCAAATTTCTCAATCCAAACGAAGCCTAACAAAACATTATTGTCTCCAAATTAAATCAATTTCCCTATCTAATATCACTTGTACAAGCAAAAGTAATATGTTAATGAAATTTTTTTTTTAATAAAAAAGTACTTCTACTTGGAGCTTGTATTATCTTTTCTTTCTTTCTTTCTTTTTTGAAAATCTTGAATAGGGACTACCTTTCATTAACATAATGTGAGACTAGAGTTTTGCCCATAGAAAAGGACTAAATTCTTTCGGGTGCTAATCTAATGCCCTTTTCTAACCGAACTTCCTATTTACAATTTCTCCTACCTTATCACCTATTTACAATTTCTCCTACCTTATCACCTAATCCAACTCTCCCTCTAGAGCCTATATCATCACCAGTGAGTGACTTTGTATTGGTCCCCAACCCACTGGTTAGAATTGGACCCTCCTGTGCAAAAGGTAAGCAAAGTAATAATCATGTATATATTGTCAATTATAGAAACAAATTTAAAAAATGAAATTTAATTGATTTCCAAAAAACTCCCAGACTCCTATTAATTACCATTTTGACCAATCAGTGTAGAATTTCATGATTCATCATAGGGTTAATTCCACTTTTGCACTCTTTAACTATACGACATTCTCACTTTGACCCCTGAATTTTAAAATGGGACATTTTAATCTCTGAATTATAAAATTTATCATATTTAGTTCCTAACGTATAGTACTTGTCCGTTTTAGTATCTAAAGTATAAAATTTGTCCCAATTTAGTCCCTAAAGTATACCACTTAGGCATAAAATCTGTCTCACTTCCTTAATAATGTTACTTAAGTAGGACAAATTTTATAGTTTAGGGATTAAAGTATCCCATTTTTAAGTTTAGGGACCAAAATGATAACTTAGGTATAATTGAAGGGTGTAAACAGGGTAATGACTATGGGCCAACTGTTAGAATTGACAAGGACGGCTTCTTAATAAACAAAAGAGTTACTGATGGTTTGACTCAATTTGACAGACATGCATGTATGCTATGGCCTGTAGCATGTCGCCTCTTCTTCTTGTTAAGATTCAATCATTACAAATCATAGTTAATTGGCTTATTTATATCACTCAATGTCTAATCTATATATAAAGTTCTCAAAAATTAATGTTAGCATAGTGTTCATGTCGAGATGGACAAAAAACTTCTCCTCTCTGGTGCTATAATGATGGCAAATTGTGCCACATTTAGCCAAGAAATTGTGCCTCTTAATCAAAACCTCACCACTGATGAATTTTCTCTTCTCGAGTCCGGAAGCCAAATCACTTCTGACCCTTTTGCAATCTTGGCTAATTGGTTTTCAACAATTGATATTTGCAAATGGGCAGGGGTCTATTACAATCTCCGGAAGAGAATCATGGCCTTGGATCTGTTGGTTTTTTGGGGCATGAACTAAGAAACAACACCTTAGTGTTGCAAAAAAAGCTTATAAGAGACTTGTATTGAAGGTGGAAAACAAGCTTATATTCTACATTCATCAACTCACTATTTATAGTGATTATATGAAACAAACTAGCAAAATATTCAACTATTAATTATCCTAAAGATCTCAACAAAATATAATCTTCTACTACTAGCAAATCTTATCTAAAATATTTGTTAACAAACCAACATGATCTTTGGTTAACAAATATCCTTATTTTTTAATAACTAAATTATTTTGATATCAAACATAATCTAGCAAAATATGTAGGAAAAGTTGCATATCCCAACAGGATCTTTCTGGCTGGAACCTTGGAGGAACTATCTCACCGCAATTGGGAAACCTAACATTCCGAACATCACTGGACATTAGCAGCAACTTCTTCAGTGGCTTCATCCCAAATGAGTTGGCTAATTTACAAGGTCTAAAACAGATGAATTTTGGACATAACAACTTTTCTGGAGTGATCCCATCATGGCTTGGAGCCTTGCCTGAACTTGAGCTCCTTCTTCTTGACCATAATAGGTTCACAGGCGTCATACCAGGTCCTGTATGCAATATCTCAAAGCTGGAGAGTTTAAATTTGGGCTATAATTTTCTTGAAGGAAGTATCCCACAAGGGATTGCTAATCTTTCCAACTTGAGGGGGGTTAACCCTGCGATTTAATCAGTTTAGTGGTTCCATACCATTAGGGATCTTCAACATGACTCTGTTGGAAGAAATTGATCTCACCAATAATAGTTTATCAGGTAATCTTCCAACGGACCCCTGTACTAATAATCAGTTCAAACTGACCGGTCTTTTTCTGTCTTACAATCATATGCAAGGTGCAATTCCTTCAGAATTGTACAAGTGCAGAGACCTCGAGTTTTTGTCACTTGGCCGCAATCAATTCAATGGTAATATTCCAAGAACACTTGGTTCCTGACCTAGCTCAAGTGGTTATTCATTGGTGGTAACATTTTCAGTGGTATATACTGGACTCCATTCTTCTCTGCAACAAGTGCATTCTCAATTCAAGCATACTTAACAAATTGAGTTATCTTTCCTTTACTGTATGCACAGGTGGGATTCCATTAGAGATTGGTAATCTTACTCGGAGGAATTTAGCATGAGCAGTAGTTTGCTAACCGGTCAAATTCCTTTGTTTATCTTCAACGTGTCGTCTCTGAAAGCGATTGATCTTTCCAGAAACAATCTCTCAGGAAGCTTTCTATTAAACATGTGGTACAATCTTCCGGCACTTGAAGAACTATATCTTTCAACCAACCAGCTCAATGGCCCAATTCCTTCTTTCATATGGGACTGCAAGACTCTTGTACGCCTATACTTGGCAGAAAATAACTTCACAGGTGGCATATCTAAGAGGATTGGGAACCTCACTTTGCTTTGGGTCACAACAATTTGAAAGGTATGGATATCTGTTCACTTAGATTTGGTCAATTGGTGGAACTGAACCCCAAAGGTTTGCACTGGTTACATCACAAATCAGACACAAGGAATCAAAGGCATCATAAGAGCTTCACAACTGACTGAATTGCTCATCTTTAGCAGGTGAATTTCCAGGTGAAATTGGTAAAAATAACATTCTTGAAATACTTTCTGTCATAAACAATAACCTTTCCAGCCTCATCCAGCCTGGGATCTTCAACATGTCATCACTCGTGTATATGCATTTGGCTTTTAACTACTTCTCAGGCTCTGTTCCTTCAGCATCAAGTATGCAAATTAGACTTCCAAAACTGCAAGAAATTTTTCTTAACTCCAATAAATTCAGTGGTAGATTGCCAAGCCCTATGGCCAATTATTCTAAATTTACCATGCTAGTCATGTCACAGAACTCTTTTACTGGCCCTATACCTAGCACACTTGGTAATGTAAGATCATTGAAGTATCTTTTTCTAGGAGACAACAATTTGACAAGGGAATCTTCAACTCCAGAATTGAGATTTATCTCTTCTTTGACGAATTGCAGACAATTGGAGTATGTTGTTGTATCGGGGAATCAATTTGATGGTCTGCTTCCAGCGTCAATTGGGAATTTCTCCTCATCTCTTAGACTGTTCACAGCTTTTGGAAGCAGGATCAGTGGTACTATTCCAAGTGAAAATGGGAATCTTAGCAGCTTGGAAGCCATATATTTCGATAACAATGATTTGACTGGATATATTCCATCATCAGTCGGGAATTTAAGTCGTGTTCAGGGTATATATCTTGAACACAATAGACTGCAAGGACATATACCTACCGAGCTTTGCCAACCGAAGAATCTTGGCGACTTGTAGCTGAATGAAAACATGCTCTATGGTCCAATACCTGATTGCTTTGGTGAAATCAAGACTCTTTTTTGCAATCCAACAGTTTGAATTCCACCATTCCATTCGGTTTTTGGCACCTTAAAGATCTCTTAAGACTAAACCTGTTTTCAAACTCTTTAAGTGGTCATCTTCCAACAGAGATACAAAATCTGAAGGTCATAACACAACTAGACTTGTCATGGAATCAATTATCAGGCGATATTCCAAGTTCCTTGGGGAGTGCACAAGAACTTGTTTATCTGTCGTTGGCGCAAAACAAATTTCAAGGAAATATTCCTCAATCTTTTGGAAATCTAGTAAGTTTGGAACATTTGGATCTATCTCAGAATTAATTTACTGGAATGATACCAAAGCCATTAGAGAAGCTTGGATACATGAATTTCTTCAATGTATCTTCCAATAAACTGGAAGGGGAAATTCCAGAAGGTGGACCTTTTTCCAACCTAACAGATGAATCTTTTATGAATAACTGTGCATTGTGTTGTTCAGCCAGATTACATTTTCCATCCTGCAAGACAAAAGATGTCTTCAAATCAAGGTCAGCAAAATATTTTTCATTGACTAAGTACATTCTGCCACCTATTTTACTCTTTATCCTACTTTTAGCAGCCACTACAATTTGATGGAAAAAAAAAAAGAAATGTCCAAAGGGTTGAAGTACTACAGCAGAATGAAGTCCGGATGTGTCAAACATGGAGAAAAGTTTCTTATCAAGAAATTCAGATTCCTTTAGTGAAAACAACCTTCTCAGCGTTGGAAGTTTTGGTTCCGTGTATAGAGCAGTATTTTCTGATGGCTCCAGGGTTGGTATAAAGGTATTCCACTTGCAAGCAGAAGGATCAAAGAAGAGCTTTGATGATGAATGCCAAGTACTTGCAAATATCCATCATCGAAATTTGATTAGAATCATAAGCTGTTACAGTAATCAAGACTTCAAAGCCCTGGTACTCGACTATATGCATAATGGAAGCCTAGAAAGCTGGTTGCATTCGAGCAAATGTTTTCCCAACATGCTACTAAGGTTAGACATACTGATAGATGTTGCTTTAGCTTTGGAATATCTCCACCATGATCACAAACCGCCTGTAGTTCACTGTGATTTAATGCCTACCAACATCCTTCTAGATGAGGATATGGTAGCGCACACAGGTGATTTTGGTATTGCTAAACTCTTTGGTGAAGATGAAAATACGGTACAAACAAGACCTTAGCCACAATAGGGTACATGCGCCAGGTGATACTTCTTTCCTATACAGACTCCATCTAAATTTTTTATTATCGATTTCCTACAAAGCATAAGCATTCTTTCTGATCAACAGTAAGTTTTTATCTTACAACTACTGGTAATAACCTATATTTGATGCTTTCTCAGAGTATGGAATGCAAGGCATAGTGTCCACAAGTGGTGATGTATACAGTTATGCTGTGCTCTTGCTTGGAACATTCACAAGGAAAAAGCCTACTGATCATTTATTTGGAGAAGAATTGAACCTCAAGCATTGGTTTAGCAAATCAATCCAAGCAAAGTCAATAGTATCTGTGGTTGACGGCAATTTAATTACACAAGAAGATCCGCAGTTCTACGCAAGGGAACAATGTCTATTCTCTATCCTTCGTCTTGGGCTAGATTGTCTAGCTGATTCACCCAGGGAGAGGACCAACATGAGGGAAATTGTGACTAGACTCACAACTGTCAAAGTTGAACTTCTGAAACATATACAAGCTAAAAAGATTGGTTGCAAAAGTTCATTTGGCAATTAGAATATTCATTTTAGTCTCAATCTTTTATATTTACCATTGTACATTTTCTTGAACTGCAATCATAATCCCAAGCCATTTCGTAGCTAATAAATGCTTTGTAATTTATAATCCTTGAAATATGTTTATTTCTGGTCGGAAGCTCTGCAAAGTCTTGACAATTCACGCGTCCAATGAACCAATAAGTGCATATTTCTAGTTTAATCCTTTATTTTCATTGAGTACTACTATAGATAATATTTCATGTTTCATTTGCTACACATTTCTCATATTTGGCCTTATCTTACTTTCTGCCTTAATAATTGTAAACATCAAATTTTTATCAATTTTAATGTTTTTTTGAATTTTTTATATTTGATGATTTTTTTTTTTTTTTTGTATTTTAATGTGCATTTTTTCTTATTTTTACAGGTTTGTCTAAAATTTTTTTTAAAAAAAATATTAAAAATAAAAAAAAAATAAAAATGAAGACATCATGATGACCAAGTCATCATGATGCCACCAAAATCATGATGGCCATTCTTTTGACCAAAGAAGAAAAGGGCGAAGGCAACGGGCAGAAGAAAGAATTTCTGCAGAAGGAAGTCCCTGGTTCACTTTTGAGCGGAACGGACGAAAAATTCCCTCTCCCTCTGCTCTTTGGCTCCCTCAATTCACTCCCTCTCTCTGTGGACTTCCAGAGAGCAAAAGAAGCAGAAGAAAAAAAAGAGGCCTCCCTCCCTTTCTCCCTCTCTCGCTTGGAGCTCCCAATGAAAAAAGACAGAGCAAGAGAAGCAGAAGAAAAAAAGAGGACTCCACTCTTTCTCCCAACTCTCGGCCCTTACTTGGGCTCCCAACAAAAAACACACGAAGAAAGAAAAAAAAAACTCTCTGAACTCTCTCTCTCTCGGCTGGGGACTTGGACAGAAAAGACGCAAGAAGAAAAAGGAAGACATATTTGGCTCTCTGTTTGTTCTCAATCAGGACAACACATCAACAGAGAGGACTTCAACAAAATCGCAAGCAGCAACCAGTTGGATTGGAGCTTGGAAATTTCATCAAAAATTTTAACAAGGAACTAATACTCTCATCGAGGTATCCCCATTCATTTTTATTTCTTTTTCCAGCCTTTTTCTTTTTTTTTTTAATTAGTTATATTGTAAGCATGTGTAGTTGTTAATTTGTGTTTTCCTATTTCTGTTATTGTTATTGTTATTATTATTATTATTATTATTGTTGTTGTTGTTATTTTTAGGGGCTGTTTTGCTTTAATTTAGTCTTTTTATGTTGTTTTCTTGCTTAATTAAAATCATAGTTGTATTGTGGGAAATCATAAGGAGTGTTGTAGTATAAATTTTATGGTTTTTGATGAAGATTTGAGTGTTAAAAAAAAATATAAAAACCGAACTGTTTTGGCATTTTGGACACCTTCTGTTCATTTTTTATAAAAACTAACTCCGAAAATCGAATATACATGAAAATTCTAGTGAGAGCCGGAAATGGAATCTACATGAAAAATCTAGTAAGTGTATTTTTTCAATAATTTCTAAAAAAATAAAAAAAATTGCCGGCAATTGGCAACTGGTGGCGGTCTGCCACTGGCAGCCGTGGCGGTCTGCCACTGGCAGCCATGGCTGCCAGCTGATGAAGCAAAGTTGCATAAAAATTATCGCAAGAAGAAGAAAGCTTTTTCGTACCGGCTGCCTGTTCGTTTTCAAAAATTGTATTTTTGCTCCCCCAGGTTTTAATTAATTTCTCTATGGCCCAAATGCTTTTGCAATTAAACCAGTTTCGTTTTTTTTTTAATTTTAATAATCCTTTTATATGTTTAAGTAATCTTTTGGTAGATTAATTCTGGATTTTAGGTTATAATTAAATCTTATTTTTTTTTAGATGATTTATTATCTTATTGGATTTTTGGAAAAATAAGTGTAGCTTTGGGTTGTGGTTTGTTTGTTTGGGTTTGGATAAGAAAAGTTGGGTTTATTTTCTGGGTTTTGACTTGGGTTTAAGAGGTTAAAATCCAACACTTTGGGTTGGGTTTTGATTAATTTGGTTGGGTTTTGATTAATTTGGTTGGGTTTAATTGGTAAATAAAAATGGATTGGTCCATCTCTTTTCATTTGGGTTTTCTTTGGGCCGAAATGGTTTTGGTCCGAGGGAGAAATAAAAATGGGCCAGTAGCCCAATTTCTTAAGTGATCTGGTGAAATATTTGCAGAACAGTCCCTGTACTTTTGAGTAATTATATTATGGCTCTAAATACTTTATGTTTCTTTCAATTAGATCCTTAATTTAATTACAAATAGATCCCTAAATTTTATTTTTCTTTAATGTGGACCCTGTATTTTATGTTAATTATAATTGGACCTCTAAAACTTTATTAATTTTTGCAATTAAATCCCTGACAGATTTGATTTTCTTAAATAGAAGTTACTTTTCTTCTTTAATTATTGATTACATTTCATTTAAGTGATTCAATTGATTGATTTCATGTTTGTTTCCATTTTTTATGATTTATTTGTTAATTAAATTGGTGTCTTGATGATTTTTGTTAATTTTGGAGTTAAATAGGCAAATCCAAACCCAATTAGCTACTACTTCAAGGGAGGTATCTTCTTGTTTTATTTTAAATTCTCTTATGTGCTCTTTCTTGCCGGTATTTTATCGAAACATGTCAAAGTTTCGATGAAGCTTTTTCTTCTTTCTGCAACATTTCTGGCCACAGTTGTTTCAGCAATTTTCTTGCCGGTGGCAATGGCTGCTCGATGACGGATCACTACCGGTCGCCAATCGCCGAAGATTTTTCCGATCACCAAAAATTACCAAAATATACAATCCTATTCGATTTTTTGCGCAGATCCCATTTTTGAAGTTAGTTTTTACAAAAAATGAATAAAAAATGGCGATATTGTCAAATTACAGCCACGATTTTTATTTTTTTTAAACACACTACAATCACTACTAAAAATAGTAAAATTCATATAAAAAATACTACTTGTGATTTCTACAATCCAACATGACCAAAATTCACAGAATAATCCAATTTAATTCAACTCTTCATCTTTGGCATTTTTTTTTAACAATTAACATACATACACAAAAACTACTTTTCTGTCCATTAATCTAGTTTATGACATTTCCAAATTTTCACCCATACAACAACAACAAAACCAGCAAAATAAAGCAACGAGCAAGCAACCATACATACATTCAATCTAGTTAATTATATATAAAAAAAGCTGGAAAAAGGGAAAAGAAATACCTCAATGAAGAGATTGATTCCCTGGCCAGAGTTCTTTTTTTCGGTGAAATTGCCAAGCTCTAATAGCCTGACCAATAGCTGCTGGAACTTTTTTTGTTGAAGTCCTCTCTGTTGGTGTGTGTTATCTTGGTTGAAAGCAAACAGAGAGTCAAGAATGTCTTCTTTTCTTCTTGCGTCTTTTTGTTCAAGTCCCCCAGTCGAGAGAGAATTGAGAGGGAGAGTTATGAGGAGCCCGAAGCAATTTTTCCTTTTTCTTCTGTGTTTTTTATTGGCAGCCAAAGAAAAGGCTGTGAGAGAGAATTCAAAGGGAGCGTTCTTTTTTTTTTTTTCTTTTTGCTCCCTTGCTCCTTCGAGGACCCCCGCTACAAAATTGGAACCTTTCCTTATTTGTTCCGTTGCTTTGATCAAAAGGAGTGGATTGTGGTGGCATCATGATGACCAAGGTCATCATGATGTCTCCACTTTTATTATTATTTTTTTTATATTTTATATTTTCTTACTAAAATCAATTTTTTCTTTTTTTTTTTTCTAAAATAAACCTGCAAAAATGAGAAAAATGCACATTAAAATGCAAGAAAATAAATAACTTATTAAATAAAAAAATTCAAGAAAACATTAAAAATTTACAAAAATTTGGTGTTTACAACTTGCCTTTCTTTGTCTAGAATTTCGAAGAAACTCAAGCTAGACAAAGACGTAGACACCAAATTGCTTACTTGTCTCTTCTAACTGCACCTGAGTTAAAATAAACAAGCCAATACTTGGTTAAAATTATAAAACAAAAAGATGCAATGAAATTATAAAAAAACATGACTGAACTCATGTAGAGTTGCCTCGTATCCCGCCATAGGAATCAGGGCAAACATAGTTCGAATACTAGTGAACCATAATGAAACAAGTGTATTGACCATATATGATCTTTGCAAAGTATAAGAAGTCGGAACTTTCAAAACTTCTAAACATGAAACACAAAATGAATGAGAAAATACAATTGTTAATCAAAACAGTCAAAAGAAGTAAATTATCATAACTAGAAAAAGATGCACGGAGGGATGCAGTTACACTCCAAGAAGGGAGTTAGAAGAGTGCGCGGCGGACGCTGAGACTCGCCAACAGAAAATTAAATTAAATTTGATTGTCAGAAATAACAGATTGGTAGGATAAAACCCGAGTCCAATAAAATAAAACGGTCAGTGGGATATAACTCAAACCTGCCGAGGTTGGTGGGATATAACCCAAACCCAACGAAATAAAAACGGTCAGTGGGATAAAAGTGGAGACATCATGATGATCTTGGTCATCATGATGCCACCACAATCCACTCCTTTTGACCAAAGTAACGAAACAAATGAGGAAATGCTCCAATTTTGCAGCGGCGGTCTTCGAAGGAGCAACGGAGCAGAAAGAAAAAAAAAGAACACTCCCTCTCAATTCTCTCTCACGGCCTTTTCTTTGACTGCCAACAGAAAACACAGAAGAAGAAGGAAAAAATTGCTTCAGGTTCCTCATAACTCTCCCTCTCAATTTTCTCTCGACTGGGGGACTTGGACAGAAAGACGCAAGAAGAAAAGAAGACATTCGTGGCTCTCTGTTTGCTCTCAATCAAGACAACACACACCAACAGAGAGGACTTTAACAAAAAGAGTTCTGACAGCTATTGGTTAGGCTATTGGAACCTGGCAATTTCACTGAAAAAAAGAACTCTGGTCAGGGGATCAATCTCTTCATTGAGGTATTTCTTTTCCCTTTTTCCAGCTCTTTTATATATATATATATATATATATATATATATATATATATATATATATATATATATATATATATATATATATATATATATTTAACTAGATTGAATATATGTGTGGTGGCTTGCTCGTTGATTTATTTTGCTGGTTTTGTTGTTGTTGTATGGATGAAAATTTGGGAATGTCATAAACTAGATTAATTGACAGAGAAGTAGTTTTTGTATATGTATGTTAATTGTTAAAAAAAAATATGCCAAAGATGAAGAGTTGAATTAAATTGGATTATTTTACAAATTTTGTTCATGTTAGATTATAGAAATCACAAGTAGTATTTTTGGTATGAATTTTACTATTTTTAGTGGTGATTGTAGTGTGTTTAAAAAAAATAAAAATCGTGGTTATAATCTGGCAATATCGCCATTTTTGATTCATTTTTTTGTAAAAATAAACTTCAAAAATGAAATCTACGTGAAAAATCGAGTGGGGGTATATATTTTAATACTGTAATTTTTAGCGACCGGAGAAATCGCAGGCAACAGGCGTCGGCGCCACCATGGCTGCCAGAGTTTCAGTTGGCCGAACAAGTAAACCCAGAAACTCCAGAAGAAAGCTTCGGGCAGGATGCATGAATTTCTGAAAATTTTGTTTTTCATCCCCCAACTTTTACCTAATTTCAATGTGACTCAAAAACTTCTGCAAATAATCAATTTTGCCCCTTCAAATTTAATTTTCTTTGGCATATTTTAATATGATTTTTTACAGATTGTTTATGAATTTTAGGATGGAGTTTAAGATTTAATAATTTTGATAGATTTATTATTTTGATTGGGTTTGGTAAAATAGTTGGAGGTTTCGGTGTTTGTTAGGTGGGTTTTTGTATAAAAATTTGGGCTATTTTGTTTGAGTTTTAGTAATGGGTTTTAGTTTATTTTATTGGTGTTTTTCCGCTTGGGCTAAGAGGTTAGAGCCCATGCATTTGTGATTGGGTTGATTTGGATAAAACTACGGGTTAGCCTGTGTATTTTTTCTTGGACCTTTGTCTGGACCTAATGGCCTTTGGCCCAAATAATAAATGAGAGTGGCCCATTTGGTTAAGAAACCTGGTTACGAAATTGCACAACAGTCCTTGTATTTTTGAATAATTATATTGTGGTCCTAAATACTTTAGGTTTCTTTCAATTAGGTTCCTAATTTAATTACAAATAGGTCCCTAAACTTTATTTTTCTTTAATTTGGACTCTAGATTTTGTGATAATTTAATTTGACCTCCAAAACTTTATTAATTTTTGCAATTAGGTCCCTAATAGATTTGAATTTTTTAAATAGAAGTTACTTTTCTTCTTTAATTATGAATTATATTCCTTTTGAATGCTTCGATTGATTGATTTCATGTTTATAATTTATTTGTTAATTAAATTGATGCCTTGATGATTTTTGTTATTTTTGGAGTTAAATAGGTAAAACCAAACCCAATTACCTACTACTTCAAGGGAGATATCTTTTTGTGTTATCTTTAAATCCTCTTATGTGCTCTTATGTGATTTTATATGTGTAATTGCATGTTTTTGTTTGAATGTTTCTTTTATTTTATTTTGTTCATTTACTTATTCACTTTATTTGTTTTTAATTTTGTATAATTTAGTTTTTGATTATTTGAGAGGCATTTAAATGCCAAATTGTAATAGTTAGGGGGTTCAAGACATGTATTTATATAGAATATGTAAAAATTATATAGTTATTTTATTATTTTATTCTTTCCCCCTTAGATTGTAGTTAGGGCCCTCAAATGTAATAGTTATGTCTCTCCTTGCTCTTATTGGCCTTGTGTGCTTGCATGCTTGTGTGCTTAAGTATTTACTCGTTTTTCTTAGGATCTTTGCATTTAAATATCATGCTTATGTGTTATGTGTTATATGTGATTTATGTGTTTATTTGCTTTTATTATGTTTTATATAATTTATTTGATTATACTAAATGCATGACGTCACTACACTAGTCTAACGCTAGTTGTGGCCCTTTTTCCGTTTCTCACTAGTCCAACGCACGTGGGAACTTATAGAAATGGATTAGTCCAATACTAGACCCTTAGATTATTCGTGCGTTAGATTTATTTTGTGTGACATTCATGTATTTCATGCATATTTTTTATTCTAGGATCTTTTCTCATTTTGCATGATATTTCCTATTGTATTATCCTCTATCCCCTACTCTCTATATGTGTTAATCATAACATTTAGAATTGCATCTCATTTAAACTAGTTCATTTGCTTGTTCATATTAGGAGAATTATTCTTTGAACATAGGAAATGGGTGATTATAAGTTTTTAGTTTAAATACCCATTAATCCCTGTATAAGAAAATTATGTCTTGAGTTTTTGCCTCCCATACCCATTATGCTACATTCATTTTTCTTTGATCACTTATACCTTATGTATATAATTTAATTTTCTTTAATTTTCTTTTAATTTCATCATTTGCATACTTGTGACCCCTTCAAGGAATTATTTTGGCCTTCGCAAGTAATGCGATTGTATCAATTAAACCCTTGAATTAACATTTTGTCCCTTTCGATATTTTTTAAATTTGCATCCATGTAGGAAACATCCAAATGTGATAAATTTTAAGGGTTATATTAGGAAAATTTTGACTAAACCTCGCAACTAACTTAGATTAGATTGAAAGGGTGCCTTAGGTTTGAGTTACTCGAACCTTTGCCTTCCCTTTCTTCAACCGTGACTCCCGAACTCATTTTCTCTTGTTTTTAAAGACCTGGAGTTGTCGAAAAGGGTTTTATTTTATTTTATTTAAAAACACTTTTGGATGACTTGGTACACCAAAACTCAATATCAAGTAGCGACTCCTAATTTTTTTTAAAAGCCCTTTTTAGACTAAATTTTGAATCCAAACTGTCGTATTTTTTTTAAAGTCTCATTCTAGGTCCTCTTTTCACTTATTTTAAATAAAATCACATCTTTTATAAACATCTTTTTTTTTTTTCCATTGCGAAAAATGGGGCGCGACAATAATGTTTTGGAGATTGACAAATTGGTCCCATATTTTCGTACTTGAGAACAATTAATACAGTATAAGAATTACAAATTGAGGTGATATAATGTATCAAATTGTCAATGTTATGAGGGCTATATATGGACATCAGGTATTAAGGTCAAATGTTTCAAATACTTGAATACAAAAATGAGATAAGAGATATATATATATATATATATATATATATATATATATATATATATATATATATATATATATATATATATATCAAATTGATCGAAATTAATGTACCATAACTGCGATTTTCTCAGAAGATTTCTTAGATGTACCTTCTCGAGTCTTGAAAGAAAATTCTGCTTTTGTCCATACATTTCTTGCGTTTTCAATTTTGAGACAACCTTTGAAAATGGACAGATATACATTGCCCATAATATTGATCACTATTCAATATGTGCAAACGTGGCAGGCAATATATATTACCCGCTCATGACAATCACTTCTTCTCCTCACATTTTCTTCTCTTTCTTGCTTGGCCCTCCATCAATGTCCACCGCTCTCTCAAATATCATACAAGAACATGAGGGGGGGAAATGGAGGTAATGGCCATTTGCTCCTTCAATATAATCAGAAGGCTTTCATAAAACATGACAATGATCATAAAAACTTCTTTGGCAGCTTTCATGGCTGCTATACTAACTGTATAGACACAAATATAAACGATGAAGAAGATCAGAATTCTTTTGGTTATGATGGTCATCATGAAACCAATGGTCATGCAATAGAGGATGATGATTGCAACGACTACCAACCCTTTGATCATGATGAGAGAACCCTCTATTGGGAATCACAAGAAGCTTTGCTCCAGGTATGTATTTGTATATCTATCTAGATTCTAAAAGTAAGCTTTTCATAGTTTTGCTGTACTTGACTTGTACATCAAACTTTGTCCTCATGAAAAGTGTAATAATCAATTTTGTAGTTTCTGGTTATTGATGTCTTTATGCATGTTTTAGCTTCCATTATTTCATTGAAGAGATAAACAGTTTAGGCGCCATGCATGATTCTTTACTTTGGTATGTAATGTAACGTTAAGTACCTTTTTAACATAGTAAAATAAATTCAAGAGTTCGTTCTTCTTATGAACTAGTTTCAAAAGGACGATGAATATGATTAGCTCGGTCGGCTACCATCTATTACTGTATTTGACTAACAAATTGAGGCTTGCTGCTTTAATGTTGTTTAAGTGATTGCAAAGAGCATTGTCCAATAATTATATTTAGTACATCTTATACAACTGCTTTTTCCTTTTGGATTTAGTGAACCTACATTTTTCAGACAACTTGGGCAGCCAAGAAATTTCATTTCTTTGTCTTCCAATAGGGAAAATTTCTTTAGTATTGTGCATTAAAATTGTGGAAGTTATCTCCTGGTTGGTTTATAAAATGAGTGGTATGACTTTCATTAACACTAATAGAGTAGAAATTCAATTATTTTATTTCATAATGTGAAATTAAATGCAGTGTCTGAAAATTAATGGTATGAATTTCATTAACACTAAGTAATTAATTTTGTACAACACTTAATTTTTTTTTAATCTTTTTATTGGTTGGAAACATGGGACAGGTATCTTTTCTCATCAAGTTTCTTAAGTTCGTTGGAATAGAAGGAAGATTTTGAACAAGTTGAAGACCTAACACTGTAAATAACTCTAACCAGTAGTACCACCAAATAGCTAGCCTCAGGACAAAATTGTTTCAATTGTTGTGGCTGAAAATTTCCTAACCAATTTATTCAATAAACTATGTTAATATTCATATGTTGTTTGTCTTTATGAATCTCCAATTGGACAATTAGTTGTCCATTACTTTATGTCCATAATTGTTAGTGCTTTATTGGGTTTCCTATTTTATTATTTTTCGCACTTTCTAAAGTGAGTGCTTATAAAGATGGAGGGGAAGAATCTAGTCAAGGGCAAGCCAAATGTCTGGTGAATTGAAATTCCACCACAGGAATATCTGCAATGGTCATTTTCGGCCTTGGGCAACTAATGACTAAATATGTGGTGTGGGGGGACGATGGAAAACCAATTTTGTCGAGTGCCTACTTATTATCTTGCGAATATACCACTGAAATCTAAGGGGGAAATAGAAAGAATATACTACTGAAATAAAATGCTCTTAATGAACAACTACATCATTGATTACGTTCATTTTCCCGACTCTACAAAGCCAGGAAGCAATCTTGATATCCATGATCCATCAATGCTTTGAGTTTTTTTTTTCTCTTTCACTCTCACAAAATTAAAATGAGAAGGTTCTGTATAATTCCTCAATTATCTAATAAAAAAAGATATAAACCGAATTCTGTTTTATGTATTTATATATTTTTTTTAGTAGTAATAAATGCTCAAGGTCGAGGATTGATATTTTGAGTTGTATAAGAGTTAGAGAAATGGCTTTTAACTTTGGGATAATTTTAGAAACTTCCCATGATGTTTCTAACAATTTCACTAGCCTTCCTTGAAATTTGCAAAATTACACAAACCTCCACTGAGGTTAAGGTTTTGATAACAAAAATTAGTCCAATTAGAAAAAATAACATTAAAAAAGTACTTTAAGGAGAGAGATAAAACTTTTATTCCATAAATATTCCTTATATATGTATATAAGTTGTATTAGTAAAAGAATGAAAATAATTAAAGTTAGAAACAATTAATACACATATTTCGCCACACAAAAAGTTTATATTCAATAAATTAGACAATATAAATAAGCAATAAAACTATAGTAATGATTAAGATTTAGCAAAACAGACTAGTCATCTCTTTTGACATGATGTTTGTTATGATTCTTGTAACTTTGAACAAAAATTTTTTTTCTAATTTTGCCTTTCTTTTCCCTCATTTCTCCTTTACTAATATCTAACAGTTAAATAATTAGAGCACTAATTAACTATTTGTAACTAATTAATGGAAATAACTGTTGGAAATTTCTTTAATGATGTACAATGACTTGTAATTACAAAATAACATCAACTAATATATCTAATGACGCTATTTTGTGATTGATAGAATTTGACAATGATCAGAAATCAATTGTACACAATGTGAGAAAAAGTATTCGATAATAGAAAAAATAGGCCAAAAGAAGGTTGTTTATGAGGATATTTCTTTGAAACTCTTAAAGATGTGATAATTGTAAAGTAATTTTATGGAACTAAACGAGAAAGGAGGGAAAAAAAGGCAAAATTCAAAAATTATTTTATTCAAAATCACAAGAATCATAGCAAACATCATGTTAAAAGAGATGACTACTCTATTTTGCTGAATCTTGTGATCATTAGTAGTTTTGTTCTTTATTTATGTTATCTAATTTATTAAATGTGAACTTTTTGAGTAGTGAAATGTGTGTATTAATTGTTTCTAATCTTTAATTATTTTTATTCTTTTACTAATACAACTTATATACATACATAAGGGGTATTATGGAATAAAAGTTTCATCTCTTTCCTTAAAATACTTTTTTAATGTTACTTTTTCTAATTGGACTAATTTTTTTTAATCAAAACCTTAATCTCATGGGAGGTTTCGTATAATTTTGCAAACTTCAGGGGAGACTAGTGAAATTATCAGAAATCTCAAGAGAGGTTTCTGAAATTATCCCTTAACTTATGACAAGTACCTTTTAAGTCCAAAATAGTGTAATTCGTATTCTTAGAATTTTAGCATAATAATGTGGAGTATTGAAGTCTAAAACATGATTCCTCTTTCCATAGCTGAAGAAAGTTCAACATTTACAGGAGATTTTGGAACAATACAGTTCGAGCGGTTCCAAGTCCAGGGAAGAACTTAGCAGCCTCGTACAGTTAGCCAGAAATACTAAATTATGCGAATGTCTTGGCCTAGATGTAGATGATTGCTCCAAGTGCTCAAGGAGAGCAATTGTGAATTTTCTGCGCGGGAAAGGAATTAATGCCAGCATATGTACCTCCATGTGGAAGAAAACACATTCTATACCAGGAGGTAAAATCTTCCTAATTTGTCTCCACGTATAGAGATGCATGTATACTAATATGTTGAGTGCTAGACTATTCAGTAATCGAAAGAGGCTGTTAATTGAAATGTTACTACTCTTTTTTTGTACAATATCTACCTCCAAAAACTTGTTTGAAAACTAAGACCAAAATAAGAACTCTTGGGATTATACTTTTCTTAAATTTATAATACTGTCATATATAGGTTTTTTTTTTTTAAATTTAGTTTGTTTACAAGAAAACACATCTTTAACAAGAAATTATATGTTCACCAACATTAGTGATGACAATTAATTCCAAATCCCAATAGACTACTCATGCAGGATGAATTCAAGGAATTGAACTTAGGTCCATCGAAAAATAGGAATAATTAGGATTATTTGAGTTTACGATGGGACACATTGTTGTTGCTTTTTTTTTTTTCTCTCTCTCTCTCTTTTTAAAAAAATTCCTTTTTTTCCATACTAGATTTGTTTATATTGGATTCCATTTTTGTTTATTTTATTTCTTTTTTCGTCGTACAATCGCTTGAATTGTGAATATCATTTGATTATTAACTTTGACAATTCATACACAATTTTCTTTTGAATTTGGATTTTTCGATTCATTTTTCATGAATTTTCTGTTTTGTCAAAATATGCGAGATAATTTGATAACTTTAATTGCTTTTTAGGTCAATAATTTTAATTACTTTTCTTATGACATTCCACGGATTCAACTTCATCTTTTTGTATTTTTTTTCCTTTTGTTCACCACTTCCTGCATTGAATTGAGTCACTAATTTGGTTTGATAAGCTTTTTCTAAAACTTAAAAATACAAAATAATTTGGTATGCAATAAATCTTCACAACGGTGTACCGAGAAAATCTATATTACAGATCCAGAACAATAAAAAAAAAAAAAATTGGTTGTAGATTGAAGTAGTCTGAGATAGGTGAACAGGAAAAGGAGATTGCTTTTTGAAAATTAAAAAAAAAAACTAAAATAAGATTTATTGGATATTTATGGCGGCATGAAAATAAGCCTTACTGACTAAATGGGACTGTTCGAGTACTGGACCCTTTTTTCCAAATCCCATTTTAATCCCACCCAAAACCCCTCCATTCCTCCCATTTAACATTAAGCCTTAAAACAAGAAATTGTCTTGCTATATTAAGCTCCGTGGACTCTTGCTTTTAACAGGGAGACATGAGTACATTGAAGTAATTGCAAGTACTCAAGGAAAGAAGAGGAAAATCAGGTTTTTGATAGAAATTGAATTTCGGGATGAATTCAAAATGGCAAACGCTTGTGAAGACTATAACAAATTGATAGAGCAACTTCCAGAGACCTATATTGGCAAGCCTGAACATTTAAATGCTGTTGTTCGTGTAATGTGTGATGCAGCCAAAAGGTCTACAGCAGAAAGAAACATTCATTTAGGTCCATGGAGAAAGATGAGTTTCATGCAGATGAAATGGTCAGCTTCAAACCAAAGTAAGCATGAGCATCAATCTTCTTCTTCAGCCAATAAACTCGGTTGAAGCAGAAATATACAGATGGAGTTCGACCCTATTCTATTGCCGGCTACTACTAGCGTTGTGAGAGTGTCCTCTATACCAGCCAAAAGTTTTGGAGATCCTAGAGAAAGTTTTGTACTTTCAGCAATTCTGTACTTTTGCAGATCTTAGTTTGAGTTTTGTCAGAGTACGTATACCTTGAACTGAGTATTTGTGGAGGGAGAGAGAGAGAGAGAGGTGCAAGTGAGGGTTCTTGCTGATTCATTTTTGTTACAAATAAGAAATGACATATTCAGAATATACATATTTAAACAAATTTTACTGTTGCCTAGCGCTCAAGCGCTCGCAAGTCTGGGTCAAGTGCCCAATTGGGGTCTTCCTATAATTTATGGTCTTAGGGCATGGAAGGAAATATATGGTGTCAGGCTGGAAAACTCAACCCTAGCTATATGTGAATATATCTGCATCTTTCTAAAAGAAAAACGTTAGCCCTCTACAAGCAGGCTACCCCTGTAATTGATGCCTAAATTCTCAAATTTTCTCATAAAATCAAATTTATACCCATCATCACAAATACTTATCTCACAATATCAATGCTCCCCAAACCTTGCAAGTATAGAGTTCCTACTACTTAAACCCGTAATACAACAACATGATCAGGTTTTCATAGAACAAAATGATGCAAATATCAAGGGAGGGAAAAAGAATAAGAGAAGACTGAAAAGTCAGAAGCAATCGGTGGACAAAAAGAATGATCACAGTAGCTCGGAGACTACACCCTTGAAGTTGACAGATCCTTGCCGAAGTTAAGAGCCTAAAATCCTTGAAAAGAGAATGAAAGAATCTTGAAGAGCCCATCAGGGTTATCTGCATGTACCTGAGTGACAAATGATGGTACTGTTAGAGGATGTTCAGCTGATGCATCCTTCCCAAAGAACCCTTTACATTACCCAAGCATATGCAAATTGAACTAAAACTATGTCACCATATTTTGGTTGTCCTTGAGATACAAACATGATCAGATACATATATGTAATCTTTGCGGGAGTGTCCTTGCTTCCTACGTCGAGTACTACTTTGTTTTACTGTGCTTGAAGGTGACATGATAAATGGCCATATGTCTTACCATCTCTTACTACAAAGAAGGGAAATAAATTAGTCCACTTCTTGCTTTCTGTGTTGCAACTAAGCAAGTTTGTAAGGTGGTGTAGCTGAAGCTGTCTCTTTTCATTTTGCTTTCGTTTTTGGTGGAGGTGTGGGAGGGGATCGGGAGACACAGACACAGACACAGACGCACACCCAGAGGCCCTGATTTGAATCCTCAATAAATAGAGAAATCTATTGCATTAGGCTACCCATTTAGGAAGACAGACGTATGTTGAACAGGGTCAACATAAATTAAGTGTGTGAACTAAACAAAGTATAATAGCTTATCACCATGGAAAGAAAATGCATGACATGAAACACAAGACAAAGATGCTGTAAATTCAAAGAGGTGAAAAAGGGTAAATGCCAAGAGAATATTGAGCAAGCAAATAAAAAACGTCAGTGAAAATGTGACTTACCCAATGACCAGCATCTTCAAGGACATGCATTTCAACTCCACCTCCCTCCTCAACTGCTTGCTCCTCAGCAGCATGAATTCTCTGAAGATCTTCAAGGGCCCACCTGTGCAAACTTCTTTCTGCTTTCAAAAAGTTAACATGTACACCCCGAGGGACATCTTCCACTAATTTCCTGCAGATATTGGAGAGATAAGAAGATGCATTTCAAGAGCTAAGATTTTACCACGACGAGAATTGAAGAACTTTTAACATGTCTTTTTACTCTCATGTTCAGGTCAAGTTGAACACTATAATTCATGTGATCTGCAAATATACTCTTCTGAAGTTCAAATGTGAAAGGAATATTGACATGCCCTCCTTATTTAGTCAAAATAAAATTAGCATGTTAAATAGCTCCAGGCTACAAAACGACGCTACATATAATCAGACAATAAGTTCATAAGATCAACCATGTGATTCTGGAAAAGACGAAGATATTTTACCACATATTGGTTTCTTCATATGACTTGTACATTTCAGAAATGCCCTTGAGATCAAATGCCCATGAGAACCTTGATGACGGCAAACCAGGAGGGCCACTCTGTCGCAGATTAGTTACCACCCACTAGGAACGATTCAAAAGTTAGGAGAGTAAAGAAAACCAGGAACAAGACAAACAAGCTGCTGATATGCAAACAAGCATTTAAGTTTTCTTTTTATAGGTTTCATTTCAGAAGGGAATTTTTTTTCAAAAAAGTGATTCTGCAGCCACTCCCTTTGCATTGAAACAGAATGTAACAATCTTTGTCCATTGCTATACTGTAGCTGATTAAAAACACCAGACTTCATCCTTGACTTGGACTAGTATACTCAGTAAAAACAACATATTATCCACAAACATGATATTTTTGTCGGAACAGAAAGTATATACTAAAGGCCAGAGAAACATCTGAAAAACCTAAAATCACTTATTCTCAATTTTATGAACATTGATAACAGCTAAAGGACTATCACATAAGCATACACATTTCAATATCCACTAAGGTGACACAATGTACAGGAAAATGTGAGCGCCCTAGGCGTGAGTTTTATGCAAATCTTCAGAGATGAGGATGAGGAAGTGTATGCAAGATTACCAAATAGATATGATCACATGCAAACTGTCCATGATCAAAATCTAAGATTCACTTATAAGACTTCAAAAGTTGTGCAAATTATACCTGTGCCACATCCTTTGAGAAACCTTCCTGTACTAAAGCATCTACAATATCCCTTTTTGAATAGACCTGGCTTGGGGAGCAATAGTTAACAGAAGGCGGAATATGTATAAAGCATGGAAAAGACAGGTTAAAAGATGACATGGAAAAAAGATTTAAATGTTCCTCAAGTTCCACATAAAAAAATTCTTTTATTCCTTCCACTGTAGAAGTTCATCTAACAGCATGTAGTAACACCAACATTTATTTGAACTGTATCATTAGTTGATTTCAAAACTTTTTTATGAAAAGATGACATGACTATTGTTAAGCTCCCGAAATCCAAGACTTTGTGACTTTTACTTGCATTGTGTCAGCAGATCTTGGTAATCGATAGTTGTCATTGCTAGACTTGAGCAGATCTCAATTTGAGATGGAGAAGTAAGTAGAGATAGAGTTTTGGTAATGCTAGTTGTGATTTGTATGGCGGGGTGGCCACTGGCTTAGAAAGCATGATGATCTTTGTTGAAATGAATGGCATGTTATTGGAGCCAACATGACTAATGTGCTTCAAAGTAAAAAGGATATAGGCACAGATGTGTAGACAAAGAAAAGAAAATGCAAAAAACAAGAAAAAGATAAAAAGACTTGCAGATCCTGTGAAGCTTGCAAATCAGACTCAAGTTTTGTATGCTTAATTTAATGGTAGCGGACAATGATGTCCAGAAGGGGCCAAACTTTTCCGATTACAAAATGGTGCTCACAAGCTATATGACATTTCAAAGTGGAACTGGCTATTTGTAACAGTATAATTCTCAAAGTGCTATTGAAATTACTATCCAACCAATCAGATAAATAATGAAGTAGATAACCTGTAATGTATCAAATGTTTCAGTATCCCATCCAGCTGTCTTTTAATTACAGCTAAGTCAGTAATTTTGAATAAGATGTTACAGGAATACATGGTCAAACATTAGACTAAACGGTTCCAAACAAGTATAAAGGATTAACCACTTTCCTCCATTAGAAAAAATTAGCTTTGGTCTGCGAAAACAGGAATGTGCTGACCCTTTTAAAGTAAGTGGTCAAGCTAACTTATAATAAACAAATTATGTAACAAAACTTGAAACTCAAAGCAAGGGTCTTCAAATTAAGAGAAAGCTAACATCTACCTCAAAAAGAAGAAAACATTATATCTAGGATCTGCTATTACTACATATTAGGCACCTACACCTGTGGACTACTTGTCATACTGAAGTTATTATGATGAAACCCTCACATCAGCTGTCTTTCTTCGCAAACTCCACAGTGAGACAAACCTAGTTAGAAGATGTCACTGTAACTGGAGGCCATAATTTCGATTCAAGGGAGACTCTTAAGCCTTACAAAGCATTACTAGGGGAAAAAGGAGTGCTTGAGAGTTGATCCAGAAAGCTCATGTTTGCCTGGTTATTGTCCCATCTGGTTAAGCTAGGTCTTTGGTATGAAGGCTATTATTGTTGTCAACTTGTCAAATTTAATGGAAGCACAGAATGGACTTCATGTTTCTACCAAGATGGTTAATAATCAAGAAGCAGTACCATGCCCATGAAGACAGTGATTACAAATTTACGGAAATACAACAAATCTATGGCTAAAAATTGCAAAACTGAAGTGTTGAGAACATTCAGTCCAAGTCTAGAACATGTGAATAGTAAAATGAGAAAGCTAATAACCGATCTTCCATTTCTAGCATATTCTCTGCTTTACCGAGGCATTACTCAAATAATACAAATCTCATCCCACATTCTTCCTAAACAGCATAACTGAATTAAATATCATCAAAGCACTATGGAGCACCATGACAAGATAAGAATAGGTTAAGGCCACACTTCAAAACTAAGTCAACACAACTGCAATCCTAAGTCACTTTTGATATTGTTAGACCACCATGGAAAAGGTACCATAAAGACATCAAAGCCGACTCAATGCCAAAATGTTATTCTTAAAAATTCAAAATGTTTGAAAGAATGAACCAAACAAAAATACAAAGAAAAAAAAAAGAGAACAAGCACTGACCTCATCAGGCAATTTACTCAGAAAAGCTATCAGTTCAGCAGGATGGTCTTCTCCATCTCCACCAGCTCGAACTTTTCCAGGTGTTGCATCTAGAACCCAAACCTGAATGGCAATCTAGTTAAAAACAGAATAAAGATGACTAGAGAATGAACAAAGACTATAAAAGACAGCCTTACAACTCTAGCTTACAACTTATCCATCATTTCCATACAGATTAAAAGTATTCTCAGCATCAAGATTAATCAATATCTTCCACAATTTTGCATTAACTTGCCATAAATCATGTTTCCACAGACTTACATTTTGAACTCGATTACAAAATTTTATGCTATCTCACAATGCAAGAGGGTAGTCAACTAGAATAAGCTATAAAAGACTTGGTTGATTCTATGCCATTATGTAAAACACTCTTCACTTTTAATTACACACTAGATTGCAGAAAATTTGTGGGAAAGGGAAAATTTTTACCAAGGAGGCAGAAGAAGCTAAATTCATGCGTATGGTCAACATTTT